ATTTTAGGGGAAAAACACCCTCATAACAATGGCTAGAGAAGACTTTTAAGCTTGTATCAGTATGCTGGATCATGGGTAACCCAGATAATGCGAGAAAATTACTCAAACAGCATCCTTTTAAACAGATCCTAATAGAGGGAATTTCAAGGTTTGGTCAGCTCCTCCCCCTTCCTTCTCAGCTATCCACAATACCCCTACCCTTCATAAATCAACTGCCATCATCTGTACAAAGCCCAATCCTGCTCTATGGGAGCACAGCTCAAATGGGACCTTCTGGGACATGTAATTTACCGTCCTCCGGCCACTTGCTGCTGTGTGGCAACACCCACACTTTGAAGTTCAACTGCTGCTGTTATTTCTCTCCCATGGTCTGTGTCACACTGGACCAAATCGTAATCAGCAGAGGAACCAGGTCTACAGCTCACGGGCTCTCAGGGCCTGGCACCATGCTTTATGTCTGGTACGGTTTCAGGAATTATTATTGATTTTACTTGAAAAGCACCATGAAAAGTCCAGGGATAGTCAAATAGTACAGTTTCTGACCATTTCCAAAAAGGAAAACTTTCTTGTGTTGGCTTCAAGGAGAGGACTCTGATCTACGTTACAAGGATGGAACTGTTACCTAAGGTTTTCGTAGTGTTCAGGCCCTCACTCTTTAGTTCAAAGTACAAAGCTCATTTATCCTTCAACTGTTCTCAAGACAGTCATGATCTAGAGTTATAGTAGTCAAGATTTAACTGGCAACCTTTACTTTCTGGTAAGTGATTTGGCTAGAAAGACACAACTTCTTAAAAATACTGACAATCACAACTGAGGCTGTACACTCTGATAATATTTTCTTGACCCATGGAGTGGGACAGAGTACCTACTAAGCCATTTCATAACAAAGGGTATTGATGTTTACTCCTTCCCAGGAGAAAAAAAAATGTTACTTTCACTTTTTGACTTTCAAAACAAAATACTTGGTCAGAAATAATAGTGATATTGAAAATTGCATCATAATCTTATATGATATGTTAGCTTTCTGTTGCTATAACAAATACCTGAAATGATAAACATTATAAAAAGCTTATTTTGGCTTGCAGGCTAAGGTTTTTCCAGTCCGTGATTGGTTAGTTCCTTTGCTTGGGCTATCATTTACAAACATATAGATACACACAAACACATAGACATATACAAACAATAACTCTTTGAAAAATAAATTACAGGCCTAGAGATATGCCTCAGGGGTTAGTATGGTGATATTTTATTTGTACTGAAATGTAATTTTATTCGTATGTTAATAAATAAAGTTGCCTGGAGGTCAGAGCTAATAGTAAGCCATAGCAGAAGTCTGGCAGTGGTAGCACATGCCCTTAATCCCCTATCCCATGACAGGCAGATCTCTGTGTGTTCAAGGATACAGCCAGCATGGAGACACATGCCTTTAATCTCAATACCAACCATAGAAGACCTGGAGGTCTGTATAGACAGGCAGTGATGAGGAGGTCATGTGGTTGGGTTTACAACCAATGAGAAGGCAGAACAGAAAGTCAATAAAAAGGATAAACACACAGGGTGTAGGTCTCTTGCGGAGAGGTAGGACAGCAGCGGCAGTGAAGGGTAAGGTTTTCAGTCTTAGCTATTGCTCTGACCTCTTGGCTTTTAACTCTGTATTGGGCTCTGTATTTCTTATTTAACAAGATGGTTACATCTACAGGTTAGAGCACTTGTTGTTCTTGTAGAGGACCCTGGTTCAATTCCCAGCACCTACAACTGTCTGTAACTCCAGTTCCAGGGAATCTAATGCCCTCTTCTGACCTTCATGGGCCCCAAGCATGCACGTGGTACACAAACACACATGTAGGCAAACAAACACATAAAGTGAAAAAAAATCTTTTAAAAATTTTAACAAAAAAGAAAGTTCTCACATAAGTTCAGGGTCACAGGAAGTGAGCAACCATGGCACCACTAAAGGAACAAGATAATTTTTACAATAAGTAACAATAAAAAAAGAGGATTGAGAATTGCTGAGCATAAGTGCGAAAATAATTATTTCAGCAGAGACAGAACTCATAAGAGAAGACAAGGACAGCTGATGAGATGAAAGACACAATAGAGTGTCCATGCCAGACTTCATGGAGGCAGGGCCTGTGCTCAGAGCAAGCCACTAAGACTAGTCAAGAAGAGAACAGGACACAGGAATAGTGGCTGGCCATACTTCTCCATGTACATATAAGGTACATATAAGTACATATATGGGGTGGGGGGGGGTTCCCCAAAGCCTACAGCCTACTCTTTTTTCCATCTCTCCACCCTATCATTAGTCTCCTTTGTCCCCCTAGAGAATTTTACTTCTAGGATCACAGTATACATTTATACACAGTTTTATGTATCTCAGTAAAATATAGAAACCACAAATGAGAGCAATGTACATTTGTTTTTCTGAGATGGTTTAGAATTGTTCAATATGATGATCTTCTGTAGTTAATCGCATGATTTCATTCCTTTTTAAGGATGAAAGATTCCACTGTGCATATGTACTACATTTTCCTTATCCATTTCTCTGTTGTTGGATACCTAGGTTAGCTCCATAGTTCAATTACATAAGTAGTGCTCTAATAAACATTAATGTCTCCATGAAAAACTGACTTGAAGTTATTTGGATAAGTACCCAAAAATGGTACACCTAGGTTATGGGTCATGTAGAAGATGGATTGTAATTTTTTGTTTGGTTTGTTTTTGAAACTTCCACACTTACTTCTGCAGTGGCTGGATTAATGGTTTCTATTCCCACCAGCACTGTCCACGGGGTCTCTTCTGTCCACATCTGCTACTATTTCTTTCTTTCTTAGTGGCTGACATTCTGACTGGGGCAAGCTGGAATCAGTGCAGCCTTACTTTGTGTTTCTAGGACGGCCAGCAAAGTTGAACATCTGCTCATTTCCTAAGTCCACATTTTGATTGGGTAGTTTGATTCCTTGTTTCCTTTTTTAGATCTTTATATATTCTAGATACTAATCTTTTGCCAAGTGTAAAGCTAGCAAAGGGTTTCTCCCAACCTGCAGGCTGTCTCTTCTCCCAAATAACTGTCCAGAAACTCTTCAGTTTCATGAAGTCCCATTTGTTAATTGTAGGCATTATTTCCCAAGTGACTAGAGTCCTATTCAGAGACACCTAGATTGCCAAGTGTTTAACTTACTCTCTTCTAATGGTTTCAGTGTTTCAGGAATTATGATAAGGTCTTTGATCAATTTGGAGTTGGTTTTGTGCAGGGTAAGAAATAGGGATCTAGTTTAATTCTTCTGCATATGTAACTCAGTTTTCCCAGCACAATTTGTTGAAACAAAACAAATGTTTAAGTCTTTGTCAAAAATCAGGTGGCTGTAGCCATGTGGGCTTATATCTAGGCCCTTAACTCTATTTCATTTATCTGTCTGTCTGTTGTGGTACCAGTACCTCACTGTTTTGTGAATATGAAACCACAGCAGAACTTGAAATCAAGTACAGTGATGCCACTGACATTATTCTTTTTTGCTTAGGATTCTTCTGTGATTCCACACGAATTTTAAAACATTTAAAAAAAACTATTGTTTTTTCTCTGTGAAAATGGTATTGGGATTTTGACTGAGATTGTATTTAATCTATAGGTTGCTTTTGGCAAAATAGCCATGTTTGCAGTGATGGTTCTTCTAATTCATGAGTATGAGGAGTCTTTCTATTTCTCATGTCTTCTTGAGAATTTTTTCATTGTAGCAATCTTTATTTCTTTGGTTAGGATTATCCCAAGCTTTTTTGTTGTTGTTGTTTTGTTTTGTTTTTGTTTTTGTTTTTTTGAGACAGAGCTTCTCTGTGTAGCTTTGTGCCTTTCCTGGAACTCACTCTGTAGCCGGGTTGGCCTCGAACTCACAGAGATCCGCCTGCCTCTGCCTCCCGAGGGCTGGGATTAAAGGTGTGCGCCACTACCCTACCCCCCCCAATCCCCATCCCCCCCACCCCCGCTATCCCAAGTTTTTATTTGTTTGTTTATCCATTTGTTTTTGAAACAATTATGAAGGAAACTGTTTCCCCCTTTATTCCTTAGCATCTCTGTCAATGGCATATAGAAAGTCTATTGATTTTTGTATGTTAATTTTGTATCCTGTCACTTTGCTGAACGTGTTTATCAACTCTAAAGTAGTCTTCATAATCTCTTTCTTCTTTTTAAACTTACAATCTATCTCCTTTATTTTAACCTTTCCATCTAATGAGTTGGCAAGAAGTGCCACTAGCAATCACACATATACAGAAGTTCCAGTTTTGTGTGTTTCTGAATGGGTGTTTAAGGACAATTCTGAATCACATAGTCTTAGATGATAAAGGATTCAAAAGTAAGTTCTAAGTTGCTGGTTTCTAAAATCATTTTAACTTATAGATCAACTATAAAGAAGTGCTAAATACTCTTTATCTGATGTTATACATAAACCACAGTAAGCACATTTCAGTGGTAAAAGGCAGCATCCTTCGACTTAGGGAATTATAATTAAAGCGACATCATCAAGAATAGACAGTTGCAGCTGGGCAGTGGTGGCGCATGTCTTTAATCCCAGCACTCGGGAGGCTGAAGCAGGCAGATCTCTGTGAGTTCAAGGCCAGCCTGGACTACAGAGGGAGTCTTCTCATTTCTGAGACGGTGATAGAATTTTCCCAATGTTTAAACATGTTCACATGCCCAGTTACATAAATTTAAAATCATTCAATAGGTTTGAGGTAGCACCCCCATCTTTGTGAAAAGTAGAACTTAACTAATTAAGTCCAGTCGTATCATGAGAAAGGGGGAGCAGAGATAGTATTTATACAACTGGAATTGTTATTTAAAAAAGATCATATTCACTTTACTACAAGTCAGTTTTACTTAAATCAGGACTGCCCAACAAAAACATTGTTAGCCATTCGTGAACTGAATTTTGGCGTATTAATTAAACTGCAGTACACATTAAAAGCCATGAGACATTTGTTTTGTAATAAAAAAGGCACTGGAATTACTCATTAGTAGTCTTTTTAAGATCAACTATTAGGTCTGCCCTTTCTCCCCTCTTCTGAATTCCAGTGAAGATTGTTTTGGTTCCAGGGATGTATTTCCTAGGACTCTCTGAATACTCCGCCAGGCATCTGTTGTGGAATATTATTTTAAAGTGTGTTGCATTTTTTCCTACTGGTTTTGTTAACAATTCATAGACGTTTGATTAAATAAAATTAACCTTTGAGCAGGAGGCTGAGTCAGCAAGTAGCTGACAGGAAGTGGTAAGGAGGAACCACATGTAGCAAGGGTTTTTTTTTTAAGTGGGGGCTGAGAGAAGGATGCTGGATTTTTTGGAAGATGCCAGCAAATGGAGAAGGTTAGCTACTTGCTATTCTATTCAGCCTCTCTGAGCGAGTAGAATTCCACCTCAAAGCCGGGCGGTGGTGGCGCACGCCTTTAATCCCAGCACTCGGGAGGCAGAGCCAGGCGGATCTCTGTGAGTTCGAGGCCAGCCTGGACTACCAAGTGAGTTCCAGGAAAGGCGCAAAGCTACACAGAGAAACCCTATCTCGAAAAACCAAAAAAAAAAGAATTCCGCCGGGCGGTGGTGGCGCACGCCTTTAATCCCAGCACTCGGGAGGCAGAGCCAGGCGGATCTTTGTGAGTTCGAGGCCAGCCTGGTCTACAGAGCGAGATCCAGGAAAGGCGCAAAGCTACACAGAGAGACTCTGTCTCGAAAAACCAAAAAAAAAAAAAAAAAGAATTCCACCTCAAACCTTGAATTGTGAGTTCTTTAGATTTAGATAAAGTTTCCCTTAGTAGCTATGAAAGAGTTGGTGCCTGAGGGAACAAAATCCCCTCAGGCTGCAGCCCTTGACCCAAACCGCTGCTGATAATAGAGGAGTTGCAATCGCTGATTAGGGCAGCTGTGGCTTAAGGGGCAGCCACTGTAGATAATAAAAAACAGTTAACAGCAGGCATCCTCTCCCCTCTCCCCAGACGATGCCTATGCTCTTTTTGGTGTCTGGGTAAGAGAATCCAGTGGCCTGACCTGTCTTCCTCCCAAACAGACCATGGAGATTTGGTCCAGTCTTATGCTTGCCTTCCTGTTCCACAGTGTGGCACTGGGCACATTTCTGAACAAAAACCTTCTTGCCTTTCTCAACATCACCCATTTTTAATTTGTTCCCAGGTGGTCAACACCACAACTGCTGTGACCCAATGATGAATGTCCTGCTCTCGCCTTCCTAATCTTAGGTGTAGAATCATATCTGAAAATGGGGATACTTGAACTTCTCCCTTCCCTACTACATCCCTTGGGCTTCTCTCTTGTCTCACTGCTCCAGCTGAGACTTTAAGCCTATACTGAACAAGAATGGACACCCTGTCTTAGTTCTGATTTTAGTGATTGAAATGCTTAGAGTATTTCTCTATTTAGCATAATGTTGGCTATAGGTTTGTCATGTATAGCCTTTATAATATTCTGATATGCTCCCTTCATTACTAGTTTCTTTAAGACTTTTATCATGAATGGATGTTGGATTTTGTCAAAAGCCTCCTTTTGTTTATTGAGAGGGTCATGTGATTTCTGTCCTAGAGTCCATTTCTGTGAAGTGTTATATTTATTTATTTGTGGCTTTTAACCATGTATATTCCTGGAATTAAACCAATCTGAACATGGTAAATGTTCTTTTTTACATTATCCTGAATTTGGTTTACAAGTGTTTTATTGAGAAAATTTGCATCTATTTTCATTAAGGAGCTTGGGATGTATTTCAGTGAGCTGTTAAACATTTGGTTGTATGGCTACCACCACAATCACGATACACCATCTCATGACCTTTTTGAGTCACTCATATCAGCTACCAACGTAATCTCTGTCCCTATAGCTTGTCTTTTCCAGAATTTTGTGTGAATGGTGCTAAAAATGTTGCCTTTCGTAATCTAGCTCCTTTTGTCAGCAAAATGTTCTTGAGATTTGTTCATCTCATTGCATAGTAAATGGTTCATTTCTTTCTAATTGTTGAATTACGTCTTAAATTCCAAGAAATAAACCTAATGCCATAGAAATGGAACATTTTGATAAACAGCAGCAGGAAGGACCGTTCCCTCCTTGATTTAGGATACTCAATTGCAATTAAAGAGTACATGTTGTGGAATATTGTTTAACTAGGCTAAGATGTGTTATATTTGTTTATGCTGCATTTGTTTAATGATGTAAGGATGTTTGTTTAATTATGTAAAAATGTGTTGCTTTTGTTTCACCTTGCCTGCCTAAGGAACATGACTGGTCAAATAAAAAGTTGAATGGTCAATAGCTAGGCAGAAGAATGAGAGACGAGGCTGGCAGGCAGAGAGAATAAATAGGAGGAGGAATCTAGGCTTGAGGAAAAAAGAGAAAAAGAGAGAAGAGAGGAGAGAATGAGAGAGATGTCAGGGGCCAGAAGCCAGGCAGCCACCAGTCAGCCAAACATAAGGAGTAGTGAAAGGAAATAAAGGAAAAAGCCCCAAGGCAAAAGGTAGAGAGAAACAGGTTAATTTAAGTTAAAGGAGCTAGCCAGAAACAAGCCTAAGCTAGGCCAAGCATTCATAACAAATATAAGTCTTTGTATCATGATTTGGGAGCTGGTTGATGGCCCAAAAGAGAAAGTAGAACTATATTTCTTTTCTCAGCAGTGAGATCATAAGACTCAGTCTACTGTCAACTGAAAATCCCACATAATTTTCACATAGATTGCTGCTTGGTAGTTGCCAACTGATGTTTGGAATTCAAGCACTATGGTGATATTTTATTTGTACTGCAATGTGATTTTATTTGTATGTTAATAAATAAAGTTGCCTGGGGGTCAGAGCTAATAGCAAGCCATAGCAGAGCCGGGCGTTGGTGGCCTACACCTTTAATCCCAGCTCTTGGGAGGCAGAGCTAGGTGGATCTCTGTGTGTTCAAGGATACAGCCAGCATGGAGACACACACCTTTAATCTCAATACCAACCATAGAAGACCTGGAGGTCTGTACAGACAGGCAGTGATGAGGCAGTCATGTGGTTGGGTTTACAACCAATGAGAAGGCAGAACAGAAAGTCTGTATAAAGACAAACACACAGGAAGTGGGTGTCTTGGCTGTAGAGGACAGCTGCAGCAGTGACGGTAAGGCTCTTAGCTCTGACCTCTTTGGCTTTCATCCCTGCATTGGCTCTGTGTTTCTTATTTAATAAGATGGTTGGTTACATCTACATTTGGCACCCATGTGGCAAGAATTCATTAAAAACCGCTTGGCTTGGCTTGGCTTGGCGGCAGGTCTGGCTTCCTGCCTGGGCAGCCCGGTTCCCTAGTCCGGGCCCAGGTCGGCTTAGTTCTCAGGCCGGACTGACCCCAAGCATTACCCACAGCTGGAGCTACTTGCTTAAAGTCAGTGCTACAAACAACTTAGGCCTGCCCTGCCGAACAGGGCCCCTGCCTGTAAAGCCAACGCACGTGGTCGGAGCTTAAGGAAGCCAGAGCCAAGCCTTGACTCGGCTCAAGCGGGAACACGTGGCTGGATTTAAGCTTTTAGCCAGAACTTGTGGCTATGCTTTCTTGCTCTTGCTCTCTCTCTCTCTCTCTCTCTCTCTCTCTCTCTCTCTCTCTCTCTCTCTCTCTTTCTCCTTCTCTCTCTCTCTGGATTCACACCTAGGACACTAGGTAGCTGTTTTGAAATTCCCTCGGATTTCTACTGTTCTACGCAGACTTGGTAAGCCAATTAAGATATCAGATATTTTAAAGGAAACTATTTAAAAGAGAAATTGTTTTCCACAAAAAAAAAAAGGGTTTTATTTGTACATTGGAAGAAGATTGGGCTTTGTTTGAAATTTTAGGCAGTCTGACAATGGAACAACTATATGACAGGATAAATGTTGATTGAATTATGCACTTTATTACTTTACTTTTCTTATCCTTATATTACTATTTAAAAAGATAGTCAATTTAAAAGGATAAAAGTTTTAGAAAAACCTGTTAAACCTGTTAAAATGAATTATAGAGAAATTCAAATTCAGACAGAAGAAATTAACAATAAAGTTGTTTCAAGATTGGATCATAAGGTTACAGAAAGAAAGTCTGTTTTCACACAGTCACCCTTAATTTATCCAGTAACCATACAGCAGTTACCTGATCAAATGAATACACAAAATATTTGGGCTCCAGTTAAAATGTTAGATTTACGAAGGTTTAAGGAGGCAATAGTATCTTATGGCATGCATTCCCCATATGTAAAGCAAATGTTAAACACCTGGTCAACTTATAATAGGATTATACCACAGGACTGACGGGAGCGTCACAGGCTGTTCTGAAACCCGGTCAATGGCTCCAGTGGCAAATGTGGTTCAAGGAGGAGGCTAAAAATATAGAAAAACAGCGGAGGGATAAAGGAATACAAGTCTGCCAGGATCAGCTTATTGGAGAAGGCCAATATGCTTCAGTACAAACACAATGTTTATTTGATATCCAAACCTTAATTCTATGTCAAATGGCAGCCTTGAATGCATGGAACAGAGTTGAGGAACCAGGAAAGAAAACTGAGTCATTTACAAAGGTTATACAGGGCCCAAAAGAATCTTTCACAGATTCTTTTACAAAGACTGGCTTTAGCAGTAAAGAGAATGGTCCCGGATTCAGAAGCTAGTCAGATAATAATTGAATCTTTGGCATTTGAGAATGCGAATGCAGCATGCAAAAGAATAATCAGGCCGTTAAAGGCAAGATCTGCACCCTTGGAAGATTGGATTAGAGATACAGTTAATATTGAGGCTCATGACCAAGATGATATGTGGGTAGGAGAAGCAATTTCTAAAGGTTTGAGAAATGTTAGATGTTTTGGATGTGGAAAGCAAGGACATTTGAAAAGGGACTGTAAACAGGGCATTCCTAGAAACAATGTTTCTTCAAGGAACAATGGCAACAGAATGCCCCTTCCTTCTGGAGTATGCAGAAGGTGTGGTAAGGGAAAACACTGGACCAACGAATGTAGATCAACAAGGGACAGGCAAGGTAATCCTTTGCCTCAGTCTTTGGGAAACTCCCAGAGGGGCCTCAGGCAGGCCCCCACAGCAAATCTAGTTCAAACCTTTCCTGCAGTTGTAGAGGAAACCCCTACTCAGAGCAATTAAATAATCAAATGCCTATTGGAATAAATCATGCTGCTCGGGATGATGAAACAGAGAGAATAGAAAATTCAGGAGAAAATATAAAGAAAATTTTTTGGCAAACTTCTATTAATGAACAAAGACCCAAATTAGCAATAAAAATAAATGGTGTTTTGTTGTCTGGTCTGGTAGACACAGGTGCAGGCGTTACCATAATTGCACCAGAATTTTGGCATCCAACTTGGCCTCTTCAGGAGATAAATGTTCAACTGTTAGGAACTGGGACATTATCTCAAGTAAAACAAAGTGCAAGATGGCTAGAATGTATAGGTCCAGAAGGACAGAGAGGAAAATTAAAACCATATGTGGCTAACATAGCTATGAACCTGTGGGGTCCTACAGGAATATTAATGAAGAGGGAAGATATTATATTGGAATGGATATTTTTACCAAACAAACCAAATAAAAATTAAAAACTTATATGGAAAAATCTCTGACTTGATTTGGAAAGGAAAATTGAGACTTCGTCAATTAGCAGGAATAGACCCAGCAGAAATTGTCATACCTTTAACTAAGGAGGACATTGAAAAATTATGGAGAGAAAGTGAACCTTGGCAAAGAGCTTGCAGTAATTTTTTGGGAGAAATTAACAGCAAATATCCCAAAAGTGATAGAATTGATCTTATAAAGAGAGCTGATTGGATCTTGCCTCGAATTGTACGGGAAAAACCCATATCTGGAGTTCCTACCTTTTATACAGATGCCAACAAACAAGGAAAGGCAGGTTACAAATCAGAAAATTTAAGTAAAGTGGTTCAAAGTCCTTATAATTCAGTTCAAAAATCAGAATTGTATGCTATTCTGTTGGTATTAATGGATTTTCCAGGACCTCTCAACATAGTTACTGACTCTCAGTATGCTGAAAGAGTGGTATTACATATTGAGACTGCAGAATTTATCCCTGATGCTTCAGAATTAACTCCACTATTTATTCAATTACAAGATACAATCAGGAAAAGGAGTCATCCTTTATATATAACTCAGATCCGATCTC